GGAAGCCACTAAAGAGAGTCTTTCTGGCTTATTATTCTCTCCCTGCAGCAAATATTAACAACAGAGGCAGCACAGAAAAAATTCGCTGCTAAGGATTAAGAACATCAGTCCTGACCTTCTCTCTATGGGGAAGGAATTCAAGTGGCCCTCAGGAAAATGAAAGCAGGATTTATTTTAAATGGACCTTTTATGGAAATAACTGTGGTTTCCAGCTCGTCAGATAGACTCCATCAATAAATAGCCTTATTCACCTTGCTGTGCCTTTGAAGCAGGTATTGTTCTGGAAGTGTTATGGCATATAAATTTTGCTAGGCATACTTTCTAACTATGCTGGTACTACTGTAGAATATTATAAAAGGCAATTGTTCCCCAGAAAGGACCGTAAGCTGTGATTTATTAATGAAATGCCAAACCTGGAAAACGAAGCAAAGGTCTCACGAGTGCAGGGTAAATTAAATAGCATGACAGAATACATATAATGAGTGCTAGCAAAAACAACAGAAACATGCACACAAAGAGAAGATGCAAATTCATTCTTCTCCTGGATAGTACTGAACGTTGTCAGCTAAGAAATTTAGTTTGAAAGTCACTGAAGAATATGCTTAGATGATATCCATACATATAATCCCCCAGATAAATGGCAATATGATCCAATTACAGCACAAAATAAAGTCATCACAATATGGTATAAAATGCCTTGTCTTGGCTAAGAAGCACCATGCAGGGAAATTCAAAGAGGCAGCATCTCCTTTAAAATTAGATCTGAAATAAAAAACAACCAACTGTAGCATATGAAAGCTCAGGATAATACATATGTCAGTCACATGCACTGACTATAACCTGAAAACCATCACAATTTCCTGTACCATATGTAGCCACATCATACAGAACAGCCAAGTATGTTCTTTAAAAAAGTTATAGAGCACACTAGATGTATTTTTTAATTGATGTGAAATGAAGTAGCATCCCCTCCTCAGACATGAGCAAACTGCTGCACGTCATTACATGCTCCTGCTGAAGAAGCAGAAGGTGCTGTCAACCACCAGAAGGTAACTTTATAGTGCTGGTCATGAGTACAAATGCATGAGGGCCATCAGTATGAGGTGCAATACACTCCCCCCACACTGGCCAGGTGCAAAAGCCACTGCTCTAAGTTGGTTTTCCAGATCATCCCACTGCATTACGTACATGAGTTTTCCCAGTATCAGCCCTCCATGTATCAGGTACTATAGAGAAAGTGGATCCTTTCCATCATGTGTTCTGTAAACATACATCTACAGCTAAAACTACAGCACAAGCTGCTAATTAGGCAGCAACCTAAAAATGCCATGCAGAGTGGCTTCAAACATCTGAAGGGTCTTCCTTTCATGCTCATTGAATTATTATGATATGTCAAAGAAATAACTGTCGTCCTGATGATAATGCCAAGAATTGTCCTCCCTCCAGTTCACCAGGTGCTAGTTGTATCTTCCAGCAATAAAAGGCAGTGCCATGGGCCCTTGGGCAGCCCAGTGGCCATCTGAAGCACCAGATTATTTTTTCTGACCTTGTGACTGGCATGCTTGATACTCATTGAGGGAATGCCTAATCCATTTCTTGGTACCTTTGTAATCCATCTGGAAGTCACACCACATCCATTCCTTACAGCCAAGGCTATCTTTGACAATGAACAATAAACAAATGTCACCCTCTTTTCCCAACTATTAAAATTTCTCTGGGATGCAGGCTTTTTCAATAGCACCCCCAGGCTTTGTCACATCCCCAGCACACTGCCTGAAGCCCGTGTGAAGAAGTTCACTGCAAAGAGCTGAGCAGAGCAAGTCTTACTTGGGGAGCTGTTCACAGGGAGCTCTCCAGCTGGTAAGTGAGAGGGATTCACACTACGCAGGAGAAACGACACAGAGAATGGAAGTTATACACAGGGAGTTAACAAAGCCATTTTTTAAGTGACCTCCTCATTAAGTAAAGAGGAAGACAACAGTGAAGGTGCATAAGCAGGATGAGAAGGGAGATTTCTCTCTCCAAACAAAATGGAGAGCTGCCTTCTCTGTTTCTGCAGTTTTCAGCATTAAATCCCCATCTAGTAACAGACATGTCCCAAGGAAAGCACCCATGGGTAGAAATCTTCCACTGTTTCTTCTCTTTCTTAGGTATAACAACGTTCACAAAATGAAACAAGAAAGCTTTGTGCCTTAGATGTCCTTTATCAGCACCACACATACATGCCCAACAGAGTTATTACCCTAATCACAAACGTCAACAAATTAGCCATGTTTAAAATTCAACGACTACAAAGGCAGAAATCCAATCCATGCATTCTCTAATTACAGTCCACACAATATATCCTGTGAGTCTCCTGTGAGTTTGTGTTGTGGATGCACACACATCACCTCTTGCCACTGAAAATCAGTTCAATGTTCACTGGACCAATGTCTTCACCACTGCCAAAATAATTTCTGTCATTTCCATTCTCCATGCTGCAGAAAGGAAAGCAATGGTGTTGCTGAGAATGAATATGAGGTTTTGTTCTTTTTTACCCCTGCAAACCTACACTCTAAAAGAGAGAGGCACACAGACTGCATGCCTGTTCACAGTCATTCCTTAAGGAATTGCAAGCTCTCTCTTCCAGGTTAGACCTTGCAATGAAAAAGGAGAGAAAAATGGCTACTAAGACTGCTCTGTTTACTTCAAAAAGAAAGCAGAACATCTTACACTTTACAAAATGTGAGAAATCAACTGATACATCTCGTGCTGCCTCTAAGCTGTAAAACACTGAGCTTGTTTGGGGCTTGACTGAAAAATGGTCCTTCTTGGGGGAAGCAATGCCCTATAAAAGGCCACTGCTGCTGCATTTGGAAAGATGCTTTCCTAAGACTCTAATCCAATGAATTGTGCCTGCAGTTCACGTGCCCTGAACTTCCCTCTCCTTGTTATAAAAGGGATTGTTTGAAGTCAAATGGTATAATTTATTTCCAGGAAATGTGCTGCTTCCTGTTTGCTTTCCTCAATAATTCATATCACTCAGCCCAACACACTCATCTTCATACCACTGAATGGCAGCACTGCGATCCAGAGATTGTGTGAGTTGTTAAAAATAAAGTAGAAAATAGCTTCAGAAATGCAGAATTTCCTGAAAAGCAAAATATTTCAAGTTATACTTCTAATTATATATATACACACGTGCTCCATCCTTCAAAGTGTTCAAGGCCAGGTTGGATGGGTTTCTGAGCCACCTGATCTAGTGAAAGGTGTCCCTGCCCATGGCAGGGAGGTTGGAACTGGATGATCTTTAAGGTCCCTTCCAACCAAACCCTTCTGTGATCCTATATGAAGGACTGAGGGAAACATGGCCAGGTTGATCCCCAGGAACCATCACCAGTTCCATGTTCACCATAGGTTTGTTGGAGGATGCAAGTCCTCATGAGAGCACTTTGTCAAGATGGTTCTAGTTTTACTGGATTAGATACAAAAGCAGATCACTTCAGATCAAATTTATTCAGTTTGGGGTTTTTAAGGATAAACACAAAGGAATCTTTAAGATTCATTTCAAAGCATCTAGTAAGTAAGTGCCCAAAGAGTAAAATTCTTTGTCGTAAAGTTAAATGTTGTTTAACATTAACAGTGATCAAGAGCAAAATTGAACTTCTCACAAAAAAAATACAACTTGCAGTTTCAAATCACAGTGGTATTCATAAATCCAGACTGAATAGTTTTTGGGTTTTTTTAAAGTAATAAAAATACTATAAAATCTTTTTCAAGCAAACCAACAATATTCTTCCTACATATAGTTCTGACAGCAGGAGAAGAAATAAAATGCAAACAAAACTTCAAAGAACATGCAATGAGATTTTTCAGGAGTCTTCAGTACTGGGCTAATGAGAATTTTATCATTAACTTCCCTAAGAACAGGATTAGGTATAATACAAACAGCTCTGAACATCTCTAGCAGTGAGTAATGAAGGCAGGAGGAATATGAGATGATGTGCAGCCTGCAGGTAGAACTGGTGAATACCTAAAAGGGTGCTTTCCCATATTTCCCGTACAGCAGCTGTCAATGTATTATCTAAATTAATGACTCTGCAGTCTCAAACTGTTTGGTTCATTTTCTGTCTCTTATCCAGAGCACAGGGAAGACTGCCAGGGTAAACTGAAAATGTACATGACCTGCACATTTTAGCATAACACAAGTATTAAAAACCTGACACTCTTCAACTATGCTTTTCAGCCATACATACATTTAAGGAAGATAAACTTTTGTAGTATTTCCAAAGTGACTATCAACACCTTTCCTAAAGAAGCTTCCACAACTCGACTGAAAGAGAAACAGCTTGTAACTCCCTATGAGCCACAAAAAAAACCTCTTCCATGGAAGTGTATAACTGACTTCTGACAAGGCTTGTACAACCTCACTTTCATTTCTGCAATATGATTAATGGTACCTCTGAAATGCTGAATTGGGAAGAATGGCTTACCAACTATATTATTTACACTAAAGAACAATTTCCAGGTTGTTTCCAATTCCCCACATTCCATTACTCTGCTGACAAAAAAAAATCTTCTCATCAAGTGGTATCCAATGTTTAGGTTTTAGAAGCATAGCAAAAGTGCAAATAATAGAGGAATTGATTTTATTTTCAAAAGGCTCTGCAGATGACAGTTCCCACTCCTGTTTGAAGTAAGTGACAAAAAGCCTAATGACTATGGGAGAGGCAGAGATGCTTAACAACATCAGTGGGGTTTGGATCATTAACAATAATTGAAGGTAAGAGTCTGGGCCAAGTTCTGCCCTCAAATCAGACCAATTAAAGACTGAGACATTCAACCAGAGAGACATTTTCATCAGTTGAGCATGCCTGCATTAGTTATTACTGGTATGGTTTTTCACCTCATTCCAGTGCATTCCAGAGGAAAATATGTGCTTACCAACCATTTCATCTGAAGATTAACAGAAGTACTTTGTTTTTTCTTTTTATGTTGTATTGCACGGCTTTTGGTGTTACCTTGAATGCAGCAATGCAGTGTAGGCTGAGTAATGCCATCACCAGCACCAGGAACACTGTGGCTAAGTTCCTCACATCCCAGATGGACTCGACCAAAGGGATGCTGCCGACCTGCCAGTCGTAGCACAGGGTGATCGGTGCCAGCAGGAGCCAGGCATTGAAGGCCAGAAGGTAGGAATAAGTTAAAAACCTGCAAATGAAAACAGGTAATGTAACACAAGGAATGACTGACAGCACAGAAAACATTTTCCTCTGGCATTTACCACATACCATATGGGAGGAGGAAACAACAAAAGAAAAAAACCTAATCAACAACATTGCACCAACCAGCAGCACCACACCTCTCTGTCAACAGAGGTGCTACCATGGGTGAGGGGCACTTTAACAGGTCATTTGAAGAAATAACAAAAGATCAGAAATATTCACATGGTTTCTATGCACCAGCCTTTGGAAAACTAACAAAACTTCAACTGCCATTTGAATGTTAGATTTTTGAAGTGACTTTCTGCCAGCTTAAACAATAAATGAATAACGACTTAAGTACATACATATATATTGAACTTTTACACAGTTCACTGCATCACTGCTGCAATACAAAATATCCCTCGAGCTCTTTTTAAACTTACAATTTAGGATTTCTTCCATCTGCACAACATGGAGCAATTAAAGTCAGACCCTTCTCTCTTTTCTCTTTGCAAATCAAGGCACGGGGAGAAAATACAGAAAAAAGGAGGGTTAGGGTGATTCTCTGCTGATCCCATTGCAGTTTCTTAGGACTGGCGCCAGATTGCATGAGATGTGCCACTGAAGTGATGGGGAAGTAGGAATTTCAAATTGTTGAAATCTTCAATAATTGTTATTCTCAATAGAGAGGAAATTAATGGGGAATGGAAATGGGGAGCATGCTGCCCTCTGGGAAGTATGCAGGGCTTTCAAAGGATTGAAAAAGAACAGCATGTGTGCCACTGGGTTAAAGAAAACAAGAAAAACAAATTAAACCAACATCCCTCTCTGCCCCAGGCTTTTACTTCTTGGCATCTACTCGCCAAAAAGTGCATCTAAAGTTGAAACACTTTTATGTGCAGGAGACTGCAGATTGATTATTCCAGTAATTGTGAAGTCAACCAAGTAAAATTTTGACAGCCTTCAAAGAGACAAACCCATCCTTGGCTTGTAAATGGCAAAGTCCACATTGTATACAGCACCAAAAATGGCAAATACTCAATAAAAGGAAAAAATAACATTCTATCCTACATAGGATTTCTTCCATATGAGCCTGATTTGGCAGCTGTTATCATACCCAGTTGCCATGGTATCTTGCAGGTTTATTAAAATGGTAACAAAGGATGGCAGAAATGTCAAGGCATGTAGACAGAGGATTATCTCGCTTGCCACTTACAAACATGCCCCTCTGTGGTCAAAATGCAGCCCCTTACAATAGCACTTACAACATTAGATTTGTGGCAGAATGGTAAGACACTGAAGCTAAGTGTGACTCCAGGCAGGAAGTTCCCAGATGGGTGTTGGGCCCTAAATTTCTGTGAAAACATATTAAAATAACTACAAAGTTAGGGTATCAGTTTCTCTTCTCATCAAAAAAACAAACATCTCCAGCAGCACAGTGACCCAAAAGCAAGGAGGCTTACTGAGCTGGAATGTTTCATTGTAAACAGTTAGAGAGGCACATTCTCATTTTCCCACAGATCTTTCTAAACTCCCAGTTCTGGAAAGTGGACTATTCCCACATTTTTAAGCCATTTGATACACTTTACTTACATGGCCCCCATTTTCCTCCCTTTCCCCACCCTGAGGTACTAAAGAAAAGGGAAAGAAAGAAAATCCATCCTCTCTTAACAGAGGCAGCGATTAAAAAGCCAGTTCCTATTTAAGAGAGCATCCTTCAAATATATAACCTAATTTTGCTCAAACGATTTTAAAAATTTTGATTGTTCACTCTTTCTAAGGAAACAAATGTGTTTTCTAGTCACCAACCCAATCTCTTCTGGCGCACATTACAGAGAAACATAGCAACACAAAATCTGGTGAGACTTAATCACACCAAGGCACTCACTCGTGACATTATGTGTGGCCTGACCCACCTCTGCTCAGCCACAATAAAACAGACTTTTCCATCAGCCTCAACACATCAGCTCAGAAAAGGCTGCCAGCATTTATTTAAGCTACTTACTTTAAAGCCCAACTGAGATCCATTTCCAGCTTTATTGTTAAAACAAAAATACGTCTATTTAGATGAATCTGAATAATGTCATGGCATATTATATTGTTACTACAAGTGTGTATATTTGACAGGACTTCCAGAAACACTGAGTTAGTTTTGCACTTGATGTTGTAGAAAAGCCCAGGTTTTGGAGGGAGTGTCCTTTTATGCCCTGGCATATTAATATTTTCAATAGGCATCACAGTATTCATAGAAGTTTGTATGCAAACCACAACACACATGAGAAAACCCTCCCCTGCTTACTCAGACTGGGATGCTGGGTAGGAAGGAACAAGATGACATTTGGGATCTTTGCAAACTGCAGCATTGCAGTTAAGGACAGACTAGTTGCTTTTCTGCATCTTCACTGATAAGGCAGGAGCTGATATACCCTTACACAGCACAGGATAAACAGTTTGCTGCCATAACAAATTGAGTCCGCTTGATTTTAAGAGGTATTCAGAGTAGCCAGATCATCGTGAGTTAATGCATTCCTGCTGGAAAGGTAGGACAAGCTGCTGTGGAAGAAGGGAAGACAACTCCAGCCATTCACTGATCAGGACAGGTTTGTAAACAAGTGTCTATTTCCAAGTGCTTGTGAGGTTTCAGTCTTCCTTGGGAGCCATGTGCACAACTTGCTGCCAGAGGCGGCTCCCAAAGGAGAAGCACGATCGCTCCATTCCACTATGGCAATAATTAGTCTTTAAATTCTCTCTTCCAACAGGAGTGAGATATTTTAAAGCCTGTGACAATCATTACCACCCGTGTACACTCAATTGGTTGGCCTCTGCAGACACCCTGCTGGAGAACCCAGGCCACATCTCCTGGCTGAGCCCGAGCTCCCTCACTGAACGTGCGTGTGACATTAGCAGCCACGGTAACCAAGATACATGAAGGCACTGCCTGACTTTTGGAGGCATTTGTAAGCAGCAACAAAGCCTTGAGCAGGCTCCAAATCAAGCAAAGGTTTGGATATGCCTTCAGCATTGGTAACCTGTCCTTGAACATGATGGATGGCTGTATAAAATAAAGCACTTATAAACTATCGCTATTGTAGATACCAGGAACAGAAAAATAACAGGATGCTAATAATAGTTACTGACAATCCAGTGCTGCTTTTTATTTCTGGCTCCCAAAAGCATACGATATGCCTTCACATCTACATGACTTTCGTATCACAAGCCTAAGGAGAAAGCTGAACAGAGGGGAAAGTTTGGAATAAACCTCTTACCAAAGCTGACACCTCAAGGAACTAATTTGCAAATTTTGAAAAAACTTGAAGAATCTGAAATCACTCTAGGAGCTAATTACATTTCAGCAGCCTACCTGAAATGGCAACAAGAGAATTTTTTTTTAATTAGTTGACTGAGTGAATTACATTTTAAATTAATGATCTTCTTGATATTGCTTCGGCTGTCTGCTGGCGTTCCAAGGGAGAAAAATTCCTGCCTGTAGCATCTCCCACTCTCTCAGTTAATCCCATGAAAATCACAGTATTTATATATAATGCTTTGTATTTATGTATAGGTGAGGTGACTGGAAGATTCGGCCTCTTAACTGGCAAACAGTTTTCCCCCAGGCCAGGTAACAGCATTTGCATTGCAGCAAATTTTTTATTTGCAAATTGAACAGAGAAATCCAAGTTTCAGTGGATATCAGGTGTTCTTTTCACTTCTCATCGTCTCAGGCATGCTCAGAAAAACACAGTTCCTCCTGTAGGTAGCCAGTGTTGTCATGGCAATCCAGTTTGTTTAGTTCTAAATTTTTGTAGTTTCAATGTTCTGTTGCATGCTTTAAGACAAATACAGGATGACTCATATCAAGAACTTGCTGCAGAAAACAACTCTCTGAACTGATTGTTTCTGCTGCAAAAATGAACATAAAGGGTACTACTCAAAGCCATAACCATATGACAGGAAAATACTTGAGGAATTGTCTGTTACCCATTGCTGTAATAGAGACCAACAAGCTTGGAAAAGCTCTCATCTCAGCCCTGCCAAACCCAGGCAATCAGAGCACAAGGAATGTGAGACTAGGTAAAAAAAAATCCAAGAGTTATAGAAATTTATGAGGTGTTTCCTGTCTTTTCTGATTTTGGAGCAGCTTAAGCTTTCTTCCCACAGCACCCAGGGACTGAGACTATAGGTTTCTTTCTAAAACTGTGCTACAAGAGTGATCACAAAGCCCTGACCATGTCCCACCAAAGCTGCATGCAAAAGTGGGGGGCCAGGGATCCTATTTTTTCTAAGTGCATACTGTGCTACAACCAGTCAGCCACCCAGTTCTGGGACAATCCATCCCATTCCTGGCAGACAACCCTACCCACAAAGACCCAGCAGGGCACCCACCTGCAAGGGAAACCTCTCCCGGCACTGGGGATTTTAGCAAAGCAAAGGCAAATCATTCTCCTGGCTGGGGAAAAATGGACCTCTCTAGAAGGCAGGTAATAAGTGTACTTAACTAGTACTTGGGGAAAAAAGAAGGGGAGGTATGAAGCAGGTGAGGATCTGAAACAGAAGCAGGAATAGTTTTTGCCCTTTCAGAAGTCACAGACCCTGATTATGCTCTTCTGACACGACCTGCACAGTGCCAAGCACTCAGGGAGGTTTCAGTTCACTATAAGGGTAAGAAGAGCTTTTTTATTAGGGAAAAGAGCTTCTCATTTGTATTAACAGCTGAACCGATTTCGGCTCAAGGCTCTCTTCATCCTCTTACAAAGCCCTAAACCCAAGTGTGTTTGACAAGTCACTTCACAATAATGTCCTCCCAGGACACATGTGGCTGCAATTATAACCAGGTGGTGGTATTTCGGATATTGTCTTCAAGTTATATATATTTACACTCCCCCTAGGGAACTCCTAGTCCAGTCATACCTTCCCACACAAGTTTATTTTTCTGCTCTGTATATTGTCAGCCTAAACATTTTCTTTTCAGAGTCTCAGAAGAAAAAATTCCCACTCTGTCTATCCAGC